TAGAAATAATCCTACATGATGCTGTAATGAACCCTAGAGTAATCCGTAGAGTTCCTCTATAATCGTCCAACATATAAAGTTATATAAGGCTTAACTTAGATAAAACGTTGAATATAGTGGGTCTGCCCTAGGTCCACAACCCAACGAGGAACAGGAGATGAGGCGGGCACCACCAATTCTAGGCCAATCAAGACTAAATTCTTATATGACTCAACATATACGCTCAGCGACTATAGTTGAAGTCTAACAATTTTAGAGGATGTGTAGTTTTAATATCATAATAGCTTTGTATAGAGACCCGGTACTTCGTATTTGTACCCATAGAGATAAAAGGTGATTTTAAATCGACATAAAACTCATTTAGGTTTTAAAAATAAAATCCCGTAAACTTATGGATTGTTCCCTATGTGAGCCGTTATAATCATACTATGACTATGTGAACCTGCCACGACGTTCTCAGTGTCGCGAAAAATAAAATGACATTTGTCACCCGTAGACCTGCAGGTCCAACTGTAGCTAGCAGAAAGGTGTGGGGTGTCAAACCCAATATAGATCTATATACAAGTATCACGTTCTCCCTCAAGGAGATTCTGATTATAACTACCAGGAATTATATCCCGCACTCGGACGTACGGGAGATAGAGAGATAGAGAGAAAGAAAAGATAGAGAAACTCACAATATAGGATAACAAGTTTATTGTTCCCTATGTGAGCCGTTATAATCATACTATGACTATGTGAACCTGCCACGACGTTCTCAGTGTCGCGAAAAATGAAATGACATTTGTCACCCGTAGACCTGCAGGTCCAACTGTAGCTAGCAGCAAGGTGTGGGGTGTCAATCCCAATATAGATCTATATACAAGTATCACGTTCTCCCTCAAGGAGATTCTGATTATAACTACCAGGAATTATATCCCGCACTCGGACGTACGGGGAGAGATAGAGAAACTCACAATATAGGATAACAAGTTTACGTTAAATGTGTGTGAATATAAATATTTCTTGTATGAATGTACCCTTTTTGTACGAGTGCGTAGAGTGATGTATCATAAACTATACCTATTATAGTTTATCTAAGAATGTATGTAATATGTATGAATCCTTCTATGGAAATGTATTAGTGTTGTGAATTTATCCAAACTATACTTTTTATAGTTAAATAATACGTGTTCCAAAATGAATGGTAATATTTAATATGATTGTCTTAGTTTCAGTTCATAATGATAAACTACTAGGAAACACATTCAAACATTAAAACTTATGATTATACACTTTGCTCAACATAATACAAAGTGTTATGATATTTACATGTTGTTGGTAAAATTTAGCAATTCTGCCCTGTTTTTGGAAAAATCATAGAAAATCATACGAAGTCGAAAACTAGATCCGTAAATTCTGAGAGTTCACAAAATGTTTAGTTTGCTCATAATTTTATCTCAATTTATAATGACTTCTAACTTGGGTGAAAAAGTCCAAGATCACAGACTGGTCCGGATTTGTTTGAAATGATAGGCAGTTTTGTAAAAATCACCATAAATTGTAGAAAAATCGTATGGAGATGTGCAAGTAGCCATTTTAAAGCTAAAAACTTGATCTATTTGCACCTTGTACAGTTTTGAAAACAAAAATAGTTAAGATGCCCAAAACAGTCCGTGAATGGAGTTGAACTTTTCTGATGAAGGCTGTTAGAAAAATTTAGATACGTTCTTAGTGTTTTAACTTGTATTCCCCCCCTGAAAACTTGAGAAAACATGAAAATGTAGGGGTATGAACTCACCTTGAGTGATTTCAGTAGATGATTGTTGAAGAATGAAGTGTTTAATTCAAGAACACTTGGAGATGCCTTGAAGGTTTTCGAGAATCTAACATCATAGTTAGGGAGTTTGTGTAAGCAACCAAAGATTTGAGTAGAATGAAGTGAAATAATAATAGGGAGGATGAATTATACTTACTAAGTGTGGAAGAACACTTGAATCCAGCCTTGGATCTCGAAAATTTGAGTAGAAGAGTTTGAGAGAAAAAGTGATGTTTGTTACTTAGTGGAATGAGAGAAATGAGAGAAAATGAGGAGTGTGGTTGATTGTTCCAGCTCAAAAACGTGGGAGTGAGTGAAATTTGAGTGTAAGGGAACATTGAAGTGACATAGGTAAGGTGGGGAGGTATGGCTGGTCATAGAGGGTGTGGGGTGGTTGCTTGTGATCATACGTCTTTGGACTCAAAAGTCAAAGAACAATGTCTTATAATAGTCTATATCCCATTTTTAGTTTAATTTTTCTAATATAGTGTGGTTGTCTATGTGTGTGCATCTCTTTAAAAATTCTGCAATTTCATCATTTTATGACCCCCATTGCGAAGTTGAGTATTTATTTCCAAAAATGCGAAACTCCAGGGACAATATTTGAAATCTTCTGTTTTCTTCCCCAATTCGCATTCTACTGTGAAATACTTCGCATCTTCATTCTTACACCCTTCGCATCCCTTCGCATTAATCACCTTCGCATTTTCATTCTTACACCCTTCGCATCCCTTCGCATTAATCACTTTCGCATTTTCATTCTTACACCCTTCCATCCCTTCGCATTAATCACTTCGCATTTTCATTCTTACACCCTTCGCATCCTTCGCATTTTCATTCTTACACCCTTCGCATCCCTTCGCATTAATCACTTCGCATCCCTTCGCATTTTAACCTTCGCATTTTCATTCTTACACCCTTCGCATCTCTTCGCATTTTAACCTAATTAATCAAATGCGATTCACAAAATTTTTCATTCCAGATGCGAACACAGTTTAGTTCTTGAACTCTAAACTTGCGAAATCTTAATTTTCATATGTTGAACCCATATGCGAATATTAACCCAATTGACTTCAAATGATTCATAGATGCGAACACTCGATTGTTTTACTTTCGCAAAATGAGCATCAACAACTCCACAATCGAGTTTTTAAATCTTGCAACCAACAATTTCATAGTCCTTGACTTCGCGTTTTTCTTCACGAATCATCCCTCAATCATCAATCCAAATGCGAATCAAAAACTCATATGTTCTGCTTTATCGATTCATCGACCTAATACA